TAATCTCTTATTGTTTAAAAATAATACAAAATAAAATATTTTATTCAAAAATAAAGTACATATTGTAAAAACACTTACGGCTGCGAATTGATTATCATTGACAAATGGCACTTGACCATGAACATAGTCCTCAAACCCAACTAGATCCTTTAGCAATATTTGTTCACCACGTTCACGGCTGATAACCTCTAATAGCTCAATACCATCGTAACCCTTAGCTTTGCAATTATGTCCGTACCCTACCGTAGGTTTACCCTGTATTTTATCGCCAGGTGCTATTATTTTGCCCTAGAATTATAATATTACATGAGAGTAGAAATCATAATTTTTAGATATAATTATAAAATTAATTTAACAATAAATTAAATTATAATTATAAATCATTATAACCGCTAATAACATACAGTTAAGTCATCATAGATTTGTGACCGAAATCCCTCGGATGTCTTGATCAAATCGAGACCAGCTTGGTTGATTCTAGGTGTCATGATCCTACTTACTATTTTATTTTAATTAAGTCTACTTGGTATACATTAATTTTACTCACAATGTACAATAACTATGTGCAATAATAAAATGTGCAATACTTGTTTGAAGTAGATTTGCTGATAAATATTCACAATAATATAAATTAAATAATACTATTATTATCGTTAAAGCTTTATGCAATAAATAGTATACTCTATATTTTTATATTTTAGTTTAAAGGTTTGTTATTACCATATACAGTATGCTTTCATATGTAGTATTATCATGTTTATTAAAACGTTTTTATTATAGTCTTACATTAATATACATTAATTTAAGTTATAACTAATATAATCTATGCCAAAATGATGTTATATGATATATAAATTAAGAAATGTAATTAATTTTTATAATAATGTTCAAAATTTTAATAATCATTATAAAATAATTGCTATTTTATTATTTGTATAAATTTTTGTCTAACATAATTTTTAAATGTTTAAATAATTAATTATAAATAAGTAATTAATAATAATTTATTCGCATTTATAAATTTAGTTAAAACATTATTAGACAAAAATATAATTATAAACACAAATTTAAAGTGATTCAATATCACTGAAATAATAAATTTTAAATGTTAATTATAGTTTAACAATAACATAGATAGATTAGGTTGCGCAAATTATTACTTAGTATTTGAACCCAATGAATGAATACATCAATTTTTTGAGGGGGTCATAAATAGTATCTTCTTGCGCGCTGATTTTGTAGCAATCTTTACCACTTGCTTGGCTGGCTGGCTACGGTTAACAACTGTTGAATGTGTGGCCATGTTCAAATTTTTGCCAAATGTGTCGGGATAACAGGGACTTTCCGTTGGTTATTTCCGCGCGCTATCGTTGGCCAATAAGTAGGCATTATGGTTAAACGGTGGCACTTTGTCAATTTTAAATTTATGCTTCAGCAAGTTAGTATTATTAGGGTTAGTTTTGATGTTACACATGTCAGAACCATAGTATAAGTCAGGGTTAGTAAACGTTACCCTTTTGCATATTGGTTCATTAACAAATGCATTAGCAAATGGTAATGATGGCGGTTTGCACACGGTAGTTTCATTGGTAAATTTGTTAGTATTACATGTATTGAACGCTGGTTGTTTGCATGCACCGGACATCTTGTTAAAGTTGCCGCAACTAAACATGTTAAAATCTCGACCGAACATTTTTATTTGTTAAAAATTACTCGTAATTAACAATGTTACAATTAACATAAGTACTCTAATTGTTTCAAACTTAATGATTTCAATGTTTGTTTTTGTATAGAGTCTACATTATACAATAAATATCTAACAAATGTCTCATTTATATAGTATGTAGATAACAGCAAAAATTGTTTTCACTTATTTGTTTATCTAGTGCAATTCATTTAACAAATATTTTTGTTTTTTAATGTAATTTACAAACTGAAAAGGTTTATATTATTTAAACGTAATGTTACAAATATTTATCTAACGTAATACACTAAATAGGCATATACAGTCCGTCCCCGATTTTGGCACACGCGATTTTAGCAGACCTCGGTTTTAGCATAAGGTTTTGTTAGCACCAGCGAGTCATATTAGCACTGCTAATGACCCCGATTTTAGCAGAACCCAATTTTGGCACATCTTTTTGACAGCACCAATGACATGCCAAATTCGGGGCCGGACTGTAATTGAAAACCATGTTTTGTTTTTATGTACATATAAATGAGATAATTGTTAGATATTTAGTGTGTAGTGTAGATTTATTTAATAAATGTTTAATAATTTAATAATATAATAAATGTTATTATTGTAAACAATTTAAAAATCTTAATTTAATTTAAAATATTTGTGTTACACAATATGGAAATTATTCATGGTATTTTGATAAGATTTTAAAATGATTGAAATAAAATTAGTTTTAAAAAACATTATATTAAACATTTGTTGCACTTTATAATTATTAGCAATTAAGGAACAAGGTGTCACAAGCTACCATCTACAGTTTGTAACAATTAATTAAGTAATCAGTAGGTTTTAAAAAAATAACAACCAAAAATAAATAAGTCAAAATATGTATTGAAAATTTTAATTTAATAATTTTTACATGGTAATACAGATATAAAATAATCATAACATGATTGCTTAAGCATATAAAACATGGTCTTATGTTGTTTACGAGCGGAACAGTTGGGCCTCCCTTTGGCGGCGGCGAACTATGACGGCTATACCCCACGAGTACTCATTGAAAGCATCGGCAGCGGCGGCCCAGTTGTTGGCCCGGAGGTTAGACAATATGTGCGAACCGGTCCACGCGCCGCAACCCATCTGGAACGTGAATGATGTAGCCTACAGGGTGGGAGCAAATATTTTTAATAATTATTTAAACTGCCAGAGTTATTTTTATATTTTGTTAAGCCAGCTAAGCGAATTATTATTTTTTGTGGAACTTACGGCAGCAAATTAGTTGTCATTGAGTTTACCAGGGAAAGAGTTCTCCACGCAGTCCTGAAACTCACCAAGGTCCGCTTGAAGGAGATGGGTGGCCTGTGCTTCGGATAGGGGCGGGTGCAGTTGGTCACAGGAATGGTACACGCAACAATGTGCGTAGCCTATAGTTTTTTGGCCCTGTATATAGTTTTAAATAGTGTTCATACCGTATTAAGTATATAATTAGAAATAATTATAACTACACGCTTAAATATTAGGGAATAAGTTGACCACTTACAATTTGATCTAGGTAATAGTTGGCCCGATAACCCTCAAATCCTTTGATCATGTTAAGACCGATTAAATTGATATTACGGCCCGCAGCCAAACCGATGATGGCCACAATAACGAGCACTATTTTTTGCATGGTTAGTTAATTATACTAATAATAAATTATAATATTATTATTATAATTAGTGTTTCAATGTTGAGTGTTTCACTCATCTGTATCGGTATTTATATACAAATTTTACATTGTTTTTTATCAACTTGATAAATTGTCCCATGATTTGTTGTTTGTGGCAAATTTTATGAAAGTTTTGCAGCCTGCTCTTTAATTGCGATAGGAGAGCTCTATGAAAGTTTTTACTATCTAAACTACAACAATTTACATAGAGTCATAGATGTTGAGCACATCCATAATCTAGATAATAAGATATACAGAACAACTAAAATAAATAACTCAAACCATGAATTGCAAATGAAAGCGGCAAATTTTTATTTAATAATTTTTACATGATAATACAGATATAAAATCATCATAACATGATCGCTTAAGCATATAAAACATGGTCTTATTCTGTTTACGAGCGGAACAGTTGAGCCTCCTTTTGGCGGCGGACAACTAAGCCGGCGATCTGGTGGCCGCCCATCCATGTGTACTCATTGAAGGCATTGGCGGCTGCGGCCCAGTTGTTGGCCCGGAGGTTAGACAGTATGTGCGAACCGGTCCACGCGCCGCAACCCATGTTGAACGCGAATGACGTGGCCTATACAGGGTGTGACAAATATTTTAAATAATTATTTGAACTGTTATATTAATTGTTAGCTTTTTTAAAGCCAGCTTGGTGCATTATTTTTTGTTGATAACTTACGGCAGCAAATTGGTTGTCACTGAGTTTACCAGGGAAAGAGTTCTCCACGCAGTTCTGGAATTCACCAAGGTCAGCCTGAAGGAGCTGGGTGGCCTGTGCCTCAGATAGGGGCGGGCGCAGTTGGTCGCAGGGATGGTACACGCAACAATGTCCATAGCCAATAGTTTTTTGGCCCTGTACATAGTGTAAAATAGTGTAAGTAATTAAAAATAATTATAAATACATGCTTAAATATTATGAAATAGGTTGGTCATTTACAATTTGATCCAGGTAATAGTTGGCACGGTAACCTTCAAACCCCTTGATTAAGTTAAGACCGTTCCAATTGATGTTACGGCCCGCAGCCAAACCGACCATGGCCACAATAACGAGCACTATTTTCTGCATGGTTAGTTAATTATACTAATAATAATAATACAATATTATTATAATTATAATTGTTGAGTGTTTTATTTTTTGTTTCGGTATTTATATACAAATTTTACATTGTTATTTTATCAACTTGATAAATTGTCCCATGATTTGTTGTTTGTATGAGAGTTTTGCAGTCTGCTCGAATTTAATTGTTTAATCTAATTACGTGTACTTTTTTGTATCATTGTATCACTTATAGTCAAGTAGTATTTATAATCTAATCCAGGCGTTAATATGATTTAATTGCAAAAATATTTCTAGAAATTACAAAGCTAAAATTATTTAATTAATAGTGTTTGTAAAATAGCTAGAATTATTAGTTTATTTTAAACATATTTAAAATATCAAAATTAATGACTAAATTAGGATAATCTGATTTATTGATGATTAGTTTTATTGAGTTGTTACAAAAATCCCTGATGTTTACAATTCATGATTGCCCTTGATGAAAAACTACATTAACCTTATAATTATAAAATATTTATTTAAAATTAAACTAACAATTGCAAGTAAGTTATCAATTACACATGAAATAATGCCTGGTGTTTTGTGTATTTGTCCTGGTTTAATTATTTCTGCCTGTTAAGTTTAGTTATGTAAAAGGTCTTTTTACTTATACATTTATGTGCCTTGAATATTAAAGTTAATTAATATCTTTAATCTAATCAGGGGAGTTTTTATTTATTCTTTGATTAAACATTTATTAATTTTTATACAATATTTAATTTTAAAAAGTGTTAATTTAATTCTTAAATATTAATTAGTATATTTAGTAATGTACATAAATTGTACATTGTAAGAATAATCTGCTTTTCACTTCAGCATAATTTATCAGTGTTATCAAACTACCAACAAGGTTGTTTTCGTTCATTAAATATTAGGAGAATTGGAAACCTACATTGTATTAGACTACCTATTTTGTAGTGTAACTAAAATTATAAAATTGGTTTCATAATTTAAGTTTACATTCTTAGGCACCAGAATCCAAGTTTTATAAAGATCGGTCAAATACTTTTTATACACGAGATTTTTAAAATGTATGAGTCGGAATTATTTTGAAAATTTTACAGTAAAATATTTTCCCAAAAATCATCTTGTTTTTAAAATGAAAATATTTTTCACAACAAAATATTTGGAGTCATTAATTGATTATAAGAATCACTATATGTTATCCGGCAATAGTTTAGAGCAGTTATCACGAAATATTTTCCCAAAAATCATCTTGTTTTTAAAATGAAAATATTTTTCACAACAAAATATTTGGAGTCATTAATTGATTATAAGAATCACTATATGTTATCCGGCAATAGTTTAGAGCAGTTATCACGATATTATCTACAGACAGAATCAGATGTAAACTCGCCGAACACAGGCCGTCAATCGGGTTGACTACCGATAATGACGTGTCTATAGTTCGGGTGCCCGTCAATGCTGTCCATTGAATAGCATATCATTGGATTCATTGAATGTTAGAGATTTCAGAAGAGGAAGGGTTTTGTATAATCTCCATTAGTATTTGAGCATGATAAATTTTAGTCCAAATTCATACGTCATCAAATGCCAAAAATGATACCCTCCCATAGGAATACATTAGTTTGACTGATGCACTTTGAAATATTCCAGCGTCTAAACTAATTATCCAAATCTACTGAAACTTGGATTCTGGTGCCTAAGAATGTAAACTTAAATTTTGAAAGTGATTTCATAATTCTAGCTACACTACAAAATAGGTAGTCTAATAGGTTTTCAATTCTCCTAATACAAAACCCATACAGTACTATCGCCAAACAATTGATATTTTATCGACCATGTTCATCTCATATACCACTCATAATGAGATTCAGTTTTAATAAATAATACATATTTTTAATAGAAGTATAAAATTACAAAAACGCGTTTTGAAAATATTTTTATTTCATAATATTTATATCAAACAAAATTAATATTAAATATTCTATTGGATTATTCGGACAAAAGATTTATTAAGAAATTAATGAAATATAAGTAAAAAAAAGGAATTCAAAGAAAAAACCAACAAAAATAATAAGAGAAACAAAACCGATACTAAAAAGAGGGGCAAATAGTTGTTGGCATTTATACAATCTTTGAATACTTGTATAAAATAGTTTTAATTGAATTTATCATAAATTACAATATTTATTGCAAACTGTCGTTCATTTAAATGTTAACATTTAGTTAATCTAAAATAGTTGGACATCAGTTGCAAATTGCAATCAAATCTCAATTATATAATTAATACATAATTACATTTCATTTATAATTGTTTTTATCAAATGTGTTATTATTAACGAATTATCGAATGGATTGCAAATAAATTTATTTTAAATATAGTTTCAATAGAGAAACGGTATTTATATCGACGAATATAACAGTTGTTGACTTAAACTCTATTGTCTATTGTCTACTTTGACGGTGTATTCCCACCAGTCTTTGTCATAGCCTTCCTGAACGTGTTGTAACAGCACTTTTCGTCTACTCTCGCAATACCTAAACATCACAAAACAAAACATATAATTCAGTGTCTAATTGAGGCAATGGTAGTGTAGTGTAAGCGCACCTATACTTGTCCTGAACCTTCTGCTTAATGTCCGACAAGTTTTCATGAGTTATATCTCGTTCTAAATATTCGGAGAGCTTTTCGGTGGCGCTCTCGAGATCTCGTTGATTGTCTTCAAAAATGATCGATTGGTTGGTCTTCAGGAGATAATAGGCAAAGACATAGGTATACATCAGAGTCTGGCGGCACTGACACAACACGTCCACCGCTTTCTTAAGGAACTGGACTTCAATCCAAGACATGTTGTGCTGTTGCATCTCTTCCATCTTCTCCTTTATAGACGCGTACAACTTGTTCTCAAACTTAAGACTTTGCATGTGATTCATGTATCGATTACAGTAAAACAGATAGCGTTGAAGCGCTGCACGAGACCTCTCCTGAGCATCTCTGGCCGCCTTCGCCTCGTCCTCATCGTATCGATTACAGCTATACCTGAAGCACAAATACACGTCACTATTGTTTCAGTGATACACACATAGGAATCATTGCATACCAGGACGAGCCGTGCGGTTCCCACGGACCCAAACACACCCAACAGAAGTCCGCTTTACACGTCTGGTTCTTACAAACCTGTCATAATAATTAGATAATTAAAATCGGTTGCATTCATAGCAATTCATTACCATATGATTACAGCCGCCGTCCTTCTCAATGGTCACTTGACATTTGGGACACTCTTTAGTGTTGGCTGCGATCCAATTGGATGTCTCGCTGTCGTCGTCGCACTTCTTCTTCCACTTCCTGAGGAGATCACACTTCACCGGTTGGTGCCAACCCTCGCCACATAGAAAACTGCAATCATTTCATAATTAATATAATTTCGCACACCATATCAATCAATACCAGAAAACAGTGGCGCAAACACAAGTGACGGGTTGGAAGTCCACGTATGAAACTCGTATCACATGAGAGCACTCGGGCTTTGGACACCAACGCAACAGTCGATTGCACTGATTGTCACAACAATATATGGTTTGTCAAAATGGCTCTCAAAGAAAGATCATGTGATGAATGAATACCTCAACAAAGCTATTGGTGATGAGGTGCTGATAACGAAGTTTCACTTTAGGCTCAGTTATAAGTGTGATAACTGTCAAGTCGTCAACTAATATATCGCACTGATGTGCGGCGCACGAGATCTTCTGTCCCTGACCTTCTTCTATGATCTTTGTGGTCAAGTAATTAACCCAACACTCTGTCCACACATTCAATACACACATTACAATCAATCACTTATGTATACAATCAATACCTTTGCAGAAGCGGTGACCGCACGCCAAGCCTGTCATCAACTGAAACACAATCATATGTCAGACAATGACATCAATTTAATTATAAGTTAATGTCTTACAGATGAGGGCAGATCTCGACAACAGATAATACAGGTTTCCATTCCGTTGTGACTGTTTTTCTGCAAATTATAACAATTGGTATCAAATATACTGTAAATTGCGATCAAAACTGAATGAAACCTTAATTTGTTTGCTTGTATTCAAGTCTGAGTTTGGATTAACGATATGAGCGGTTGTGAACAACTCGTTTTGGTCGCCGTCGTAATACCTGTCAATACATTGCATACATTCACTCAATTGTCACCATTTAGAGCAACATTCAAGACATCGCAAACCTTTCGTAGAGTTTCTCTTTATCCCACTTAAAGTGATTCAAAAGAATTCTTGTAATCGTTGGCGGAAGCTATGGATCAAGTGATAGACATTAGGCTATGTGTGACAATTGGAGTGATATATGAGACCTGAACGACAGTATTGACGTCTCTGATGGAGTCAATCATATGCTCGACAATGGATTCAGTGGTGAGCACTTCGTATGGGAAGTCGTCGTCGATGTCCATCCTTTCCTTGTGATGGCAACCGATTGGCTCCACATCTAAGGCCACGGATAGGCCGTCGTCTTCCTCGTCGGTCGACTCATTGCCGGAGTCAGAGATGTTATTATAGATGATATCGTCGTCCAGACCGTCATCGATGTCCATCTCTTCACACTCTTCAGACACTTAATCCCTAATCTATTCAATTGATTGACAACTAATTGCTATAACTATACGACTATTAATAATATTTATGTCAATACAAGTACTAATCAATAGTATTAACGATGAGTTCATTCATGTATTTAATCAATAAATAGTGAATTTAAATGACAATTAAATACAAATCAATTTAAATAAATAATAAGTAAAACATTTGATAACAATTAGTAAACAATTCAATGATTACGACATTCACTCACTTTTGTGTTCATTCAATGCATTCAATGCTATTGTAATGCAATTGTAATGCACTCGACGTTCAGTACAATCACTACAATCATTGCCTTCCTATGCCTTCCCATTGCCATACGTTTGAGTCAACCCAACACTACACCAACCAATCAGCCAAACACTTGACTCATTGCCACACAAACACTCCACCAATCATAGCGTGCCGTCACTTATTAGCGCCACTTTTCAAACATTATATATTTAATGATTATTGAAATGAATGCGAACACAATGAGGGCTCGTATGGCCAGAGTTGCCCCAAAGGACAACCTATAGCTATGAGATAAGGGATGGCAAACATAATATATTATATCATTTCTATACAATTGTATTATTTCCAGTACTTTATCAGAAGAATTGGTGAACAATGTCATTTTTAAAACCATTATATCGTAAGCTATAATTAGAGTCTCGATTTTTCGGGAATAAAAACATGTGAATTCGGGAGTATACATGGCCAAAATCGTTAAAAATTCGGGAATTACGTTTTAATTGGATTTTCACATAATAATTATGTATTTAAGTGATTTTTATAAGGTTTATATGCACTAACGAAACAAAATAATGACATTTATTGATGCAAAAATAATTAATAATCTTAATTTATGATATATCACAGATATGTAACACTTTATGCTTTAAATAAAACTTATTTTATTTCAATATTAATTGTGTGATTGTGTGAGTCCTGAGAGTGACCTGACCTGACCAGACCCGAACCTCGGGAGCACCCGAGCTCCTACAATATTTGTATGGCATTTGGTATTCATAATTAGGCAAAATTGAGCGTACATTGTATGTTAACCATGAATCATGGTCCATGATCATTGACCATTGATCAACAATAATAGACATAAAAGCCTTATTTTGATTAATAATCTTAATTTTGCAGCAAGTTTTGGTATTCTGTGAGCAAATTCATTAGTATTTTGATAGAAAATCTTTCTCAAAAAGTGCCAAAATCGGGAAAATTCGGGAAAATCGGGAATTCCCGAAAAGTAGAGACTCTAGCTATAATATTTGTATGGCATTTGGTATTCATAATTAGGCAAAATTGAGCGTACATTGTATGTTAACCATGAATCATGGTCCATGATCATTGACCATTGATCAACAATAATAGACATAAAAGCCTTATTTTGTCGAGTTTTGATTGTATAAGGAATATAACGATAAGTTCGATAACTTTGAACACAAAGATGTCAAATCTTCGGAAATTCCCGAATAAAATAGTTAACAAAATCATCGGGAATTATACCCGTATACAACTAATATTAGGTTTAGGGGTTATAATAGACCAAAAATATGTAAGTTTTATTTACCTATTTTGGTCTATTTTGAGAAAATTCCCGATTTTAGCTTATTTTTGAGAAAATTCTCGAAAAGTCTACTTTTATAATAAAACATTCCCGAAATTAGACATTTTTCGGAGAAAATTATTTTTTATAGCCATTTTATCAAAACTCTTAATATAATTGTAAACTGAATGTAACTCATATCAAATTAAAATTGAATAAATACATAATTTACGAATTTTCCCGATGTTGACGGTTCTCGATTTCCTTTTATTCCCTAATTTGGATGTTTTTACTCCCGAAAAATGGATGTTTAGTCATGAATGTAAATACACGCTCCGACACGAATACAAATTCCAGAATATTTATAAAAATAATCAAGCACATTTATGCTATTGACCATCTCACTCTACAGAATCACAATAACACACTCAACTAAGAAATAGACGTGGAGACGGATTCCCTTCATTTTTAACCACTATTCTGATATGAATAATGTGGTTTATAGGATCGTTCGGCCCCCCCCCTCCCCCCTCCCGCCCCCCGCTCTATGGG